CTACCCCATTCAGCCTTGCTCCCCTGCAACCACTCCTCCCTGTCTCACGTCTGAACTCTCTTGTGTGAACACAGGAACCTATCCCACCCATCTCTGGAAGTCTTTGTCCTCTCCGAGGGCAGCTTGGACATGCCACAGGGTGGCGCTCGGGCCCTTCTCTGTCCCCAGGCATGCGGGGAACGCACCAACAACTGCATTCCAGTACAACCCCTCACCCGTGTCCTCACTGCACTAAGTGGCAGAGGCGGGTGGGAGCCAGCCAGGAAGGGCCTCGTGGGAACCTTAGGACCTTGCAATTTATCTGGAAGGCCAAGGAAGGGTTTTGACAAGCAGGGGCGTGATTTTGATGTGGTCTCGGGTGTATTCATTTCTACTGCAGACTCCTGCCTTGCACACAGACAAGCAGGCACGTCTAAGGTACAAAAAGTGGGAGTGAAATTTCTTCAAAAGGCGAGAAAGCAAACACACACGAAAATACCCATCAGGAGTGGGCAGCGGGCCAGAAGCTTACCCTAAAGGAGGCTGGGGGAGGGGAGACAGAGAGGGCATGCATGAAACACCCCGGCCGTGGTCTGAGGCGGGAGAGGGCAAGACAGGGAGTGAGCCCCCCAGTGTCTGGCCTCTCCCAAGAAGCAGGGGTGGCCTCCGCAGGCGTGAAGCCACATGGGAGTTATATGGCACCTCCACAAGTTCATTTTCATGGCCTAGGTCCCGGATGAAGCAGGTGCATCCTGGGAAAGGGGGTGCTCTGATTGACAAGTAGGAGGGTGGAGTGACCCAGGAGGGCCTGCAGTGACTTCTGGCCCAGCAGACCTAAACTACCTGCCTATCCCACATCATTGATTGACACCGACACAAGCGCACAATGTATACATGCCAGAGAGAATTCCCCTGAAATTCCCACATCCTGGGAAACTCCGCAGTTCTGGGCAAGTTGGGACAGCTGATGGAACTATTTAAACACAGCCTCAAACTGTCCTCTTTCCCTCTTACCAATGGGAAGACTGCGTCCCAGATTTTTAAGTTGCATTTGATGCTGCCCCCTAGTGGCAGAATGTAACATAGCATCACCACAAAGGTAAGTTTCATGGCCGATAAATAGCTTTCTTAAGATCAGAGGAAGAGCCGGAATGTTCTAACGATTTAAATGTATAACTTCTACAGTGCCACTAGGATATAGCATTCATTGATACTCCTCAGCGAATGTAATATCCATGGGCTGTCTCAGCCTAAGTGCTCTTTAACATTCCCCGGTGTCATTTAAACTTTGGAGAGGCTCTGGGCTCTGACTCTTCCTTTGGCAAAATGACTGTGCCCCAAGCCCAGCAGGAGTGGCGGAGTGTCCGGTCCTGCCTAGGCAGACGCAGAGGGGACAGGAAATCCAATACATGGACAGCAGGCTGCGGGGTGGATCGCTCTGCATGGCCCCCGAATGATGTTGTAAATAGCCACATGGCCCTTAGCCGACGAACCTGCATGGAGAATAGGATGCTGCTCAGGGCTGTGACGGTGGACAAGGAAGCGCTGGTGCAGCCCTGCTGGGGAGCAGGACTCAAAGCTGTCGACCACCGACACTGTTACCCCAGATCCAAGCCTGGGCTCTGCCCCTGCAGCTCTGGGAGGAGCCACGCTAGCCCCAGGGACACAGCGTCTCCTTGTCAAGGCCAGGCTTGGCGGCAGCCCGCGTCCGAGGCCAGGCGGGCCTGCCCAGCCACTCCGAGGAAGTGAGCTGGTACCTCTGTGGTGGAAGCAATTCTCACTCAGCTGAGCTGGCTCCTGGGCAGGTACCACCCCCGGGCAGCGGCAGGGCACTGGGACCCAGGCCAGGACTCTGTGCCAGGCACCAGGGAAGCCACAGCTTCTGCTTTCTGCTTTCTACCTGTGGCTGGGTTCAGACACACCAGGGTTGTTAATTCTGTTCAGAAGTCTTCCTGAAGATGCAAGGATCCGGAGCGGGCACCGCAGCCCTCCCGCAGCCGGCTTTCAGCGTCCTAGAAACTTCCAGAAGTCTAACTCTGCTGTGGTTACCAAGACCCCCAGGCGGGCTGGCTAGCACCGTTAGAGAGCTTGGCCGGCGCCGCGGCTCAATAGGCTAATCCTCCACCTAGCGGTGCCGGCACACCAGGTTCTAGTCCCGGTCGGGGCGCCGGATTCTGTCCCGGTTGCTCCTCTTCCAGTCCAGCTCTCTGCTGTGGCCCGGGAAGGCAGTGGAGGATGGCCCAAGTGCTTGGGCCCTGCACCCCATGGGAGACCAGGAGAAGCACCTGGCTCCTGCCTTTGGATAGGCGTGGTGCGCCGGCCGCAGCGCAAGGGCCGCGGTGGCCATTGGAGGGTGAACCAACAGAAAAAGGAAGACCTTTCTCTCTGTCTCTCTCTCTCACTGTCCACTCTGCCTGTCGAATACAGAAAGAGAAATAAAAAAAAAAAGGAAAGGAAAAAAAAAAGAGTGAGAGCTTCGTTCTGTACAAAGTGAAGCTAGAGAAAGGAGACTCAATAGAAAGCAACAGTGACGCTGGACAGGGGCTAAGCGGTGACCCGGGCGAGAAGGGAGCCCGCGTGATGGCGCCTCTGTCTGACCGGTGTAAAGCCCTAACGTCCTAAGTCAGGACCCTGGCTTTCAATTCCGACTGCATGCATCTTTACAGGATTTTTAAAAATGTCTAATCCACACCACGAAATATATTATTCAGCAGCTATAGAAAGAGCTAGCTATCTGCGTGCATCTCTCTCAACATGGAAATATTTGTAAGACGCACCATCAATGAAGCAAGTTAATGAGAAACATCCTAAGGCAGACTGTTAGGAGAAACAACTTAAAATACACATTTTTTTTTTTGACAGGCAGAGTGGACAGTGAGAGAGAGAGACAGAGAGAAAGGTCTTCCTTTGCCGTTGGTTCACCCTCCAATGGCCGCCGAGGCCGGGGCACCGCGCTGATCCGATGGCAGGAGCCAGGTGCTTCTCCTGGTCTCCCATGCGGGTGCAGGGCCCAAGCACTTGGGCCATCCTCCACTGCACTCCTGGGCCACAGCAGAGAGCTGGCCTGGAAGAGGGGCAATCAGGACAGAATCTGGCACCCCGACTGGGACTAGAACCCGGTGTGCTGGCACCGCAAGGCGGAGGATTAGCCTAGTGAGCCGCGGCGCCGGTCTTAAAATACACATTTTTAAAGGAAGCAAGTTATAGAACAACATAGGGGCACTTGAAAGAGTTTGTGGAAAATGAAATTAAAAGATAAGTTTGTTTTTTGGTGCAGAAAAAAAAATTTAAAGCCATGCATGATTTTTTTCGTAACACATTTTCCATGAACTTTAAAAATATTATTTAGTTTACTTACTTGAGAGGCAGAGAAACACAGAGAGGGAGCTTTGACTGCTGGTTTACTCCCCAGATGCCCACCAGTAGCTAGGGCTGGGCCAGGCCAAACCCAGGAGTCCAGAACCCCATCTGGGTCTCCACCAGGGTGGCAGAGGCCCAAGCATCTGAGCCATCGTCGGCTGCCTCCCAGGCTGCGTTCACAGGACACTGGACTGGAAGAGGAGCAGCCAGGAAGGGAACTGACGCCCTCCCGTGGGACGTGAGTGTCCAGGTGGCAGGTTGCCCTGCTGCACCAAACCTGCCCCCTCCGTGAACTGAGTTCAAATCTGTGTGCTTCTGCCTCCGCACGGGAAAGTTCCGGAAGGCTGATTCTCAAACTGCTCACCGCGCTGCCTCTGGAGGGGGTAAATTCAGAAGAGGGTTTTTTTTTTCCCACCCCCCAGTAGTGTTTGATTATTTCCCAGTGGGCAGGTGCTAATTTTAGCCACAAAACCAAGAAAGCTAAAGATATCCAAGTACACACCAGACCGGTCACGAATTAAGCCTTTGCCTAAACCCAGGAGGAAGTCCAGGGCTCCCCAGAGAATGAAGCGCCTCAGAACTTGACATTGAAGAAGACACCTTAGTGCTGCACGTATCCTGAGTCTCAGGTGGAAAACCCTTCATGCACGCTCTCCATGGTGGCTCCTAGCAGATCTATCTACTTTTGCCGACAGATGTCGGGAACTGATCTTTTAAAGAATCTCATTCACTTTCATTTTTTCAATCTTCGAGCTGCGTTAAGCAGTTCTAATTCAGATAACACACAGTTTTCACCCATCAATGAAGTTCATTCAGATAAATTTTAAAAATATTGGTTCTCGGGGCTGGCACTGTGGTGCAGTGGGTTGGGCCGCCACTCGTGACACTGGTGTCCCATATCAGAGCACCAGAGTTCAAGTCCTGGCTGCTCTGCTTCTGAGCCAGCTCCCTGCTAATGCACTTGGGAAGGCAGCAGATGGTGGCCCAAGTCACCCACATAGGAGACCAGGATGGAGTTCCTGGCTCCTGGCTTCAGCCTAGCCCAGACCTGCCTGGCTATTAAAGTCATTCTGGGGAGTGAATAAGTGGATAGAAGATCTCTCTTTCTCTCATTCATATATATATATATATATATATATATATATATATTTATGTATATATATACACATATATATGTACATATACATATATATAATGCATATATATACATGGTCACTCTGCCTTTCTAGTCAGTAAGTAAATATTTATTTTTTTTAAGATTATTTATTTATTTGAGAGGCAGAGTTACAGACAGAGAGAGGGAGAGAGAGAGAGAGAAGTCTTCCCCGCTGATTCACTCTCCAAATGGCGTCAAGGGCCAGAACTGGGCCGATCCGAAGCAAGGAGCTTCCTCTGGGTCTCCCATGTGGGTGCAGGGCTCAAGGACTTGGGCCACCTTCCACTGCTTTCCCAGGCCATAGCAGAGAGCTGGATTGGAAGTGGAGCAGCAGGGACTCGAAATGGTGCCCATGGGGGATGCCAGCGCTGCAGGCAGAGGCTTAACCCGCTATACCACAGCGCTGGTCCCTGAATAAATAAATCTTTAAAAAGAAAAAAAAATATTGGTTCTCACTTGACCTGGAGTGACTTACATGTACAAACCATTAGTTGTACAGTGTAAATAGTCTTCAAAAATTTATTTGTGGACACAGACATATTCAAAGGTGACACTGGACAGACACAAGGGAAAAGGCTGGGGTGCTGACGACAATGGGGAATCTCACCGCACCTTGCATTTCTTCAAAGAGAACCAGCACCATCAGTTCAGAAATCACAGATTTAATGATAATTGCTTCTAATATACAAAATACCTTATAAAGATTATTTAGCTATCTAGTAACAAAGTTTTTTTTTTTTCTAAAAACGTGTCTAAAAGTCAACCAGAATTTACCACTCTCTTGAAACTGATGAAAACGGTTTACAAGTTGATTCAATTCTACAACTTATCAAAGGGAATGAGTCATCATTAGTTTTTTGGGGAAGAAAGTGCCTGAATGCAGCCTCTTCTCACCACCGAGCAGGTACAGTACACTGCATACTGACTATCCGGATAGCAGCACGTTTGACACTGCTCTTAGAAAATATTTTCCTAGGCTATAAAAATACTAAGTGGCGTACAAAAGTTTCAGCATTTACAGCAAACAGATTACAGCAGACAAACAGTGAAAACTGTCTCGTACCACAATCATCATGAACATCAGGTAGTGTTCTAACCATCTCGCTCTGATTCGGCATCTGTTTCTCCTCCAGTCTTGTGAGAGTGGCAGGTGCAGCCCGGGCGAACCACCGAGTGTCACTGTGGGCATTCAGCTGCCTTGCAAAGTGCTGCACGCACAGTCGCAGCAGAGCCTGCTCCTCAGGTCGGGGGTCAGCAGTTGACAGCCCGTGAGCCACATGGGCCCCCCCCCCCCGCCCCGGTCCCCTTCCCCTGCTACATCACGTTGTCATCAGCGGCTGGTTGCCTTTGTGCCGAACGAGCAGGGTCAAGCAGCTACCACAGAGACCGTGTACAACCTTTGGGTCTGCATATACTGAAATCTTTACTATCTGGCCTTCTGTGGACAAGCCTGCCAACTCCCTTTCTAGATAAATCACTTCAGGACGTCGCGGAACGAGGACTGGGGTAAGACTGTCCACGATGGAGAACGTTCGGCCAGGCCCATCGCCCGGTACCAGAGCAGGCCAGGCTGCCAGCTCCGGGCCCTGAAATGGTATTCTCGTACTGTAGGTCACGTCTGCCCAGGATAAAGTACCTTCTCTTCTCTACGAACTGGCCACTTTGTACCACGAAACTCACGTACCACATTACAGCAGCGTGCTCGCTCTTTAACCCGAACCATCTACGCAGCTCCCAAACACAGTTACTAGCCTTTCTAAAAACCAATCCTCTAAGACCTTTAGCAAGACACAGAACTAGCAGTGGGTGTCTCCCAGCTCCCTGCGTTGGTGCCGACGCTGCAGGGCTGTGCCGCGTGCCTGTCAGATCCCCTCCCTGTGACACGCCTCGTGGTAGCTGGTACTGCTGCCGTCCAGGGCCAGAAACATGTCCCTCCGGACAAAGCGCACCAGGTTCTCAAGGGGGCACATGGGCTTGGGCGAGCGCTTGTGGTGGTCCTGGCAGAAGGAGGTGTGGAATGTGACATCGACCCCGTTGTAGAGGACCCGCACGGAGTGCTCCGTGGGCTTTTCTCTGTCTTGCCAAAGCTCAAAGATCAGCCTGGCGGCAAACCTCGGGAACCTGGCTTCTGCCAGGCCCAAGGCGCTGAGAACGGGTGACAGGGTGACGTCGTGGGCAGAGTAGAGGGCAAAGATCTCTTCTCTCCCGCCCAGGGCAGCGCGCTGCATCCGGCTGACGGTCTGATTCAGGATGGGGTGGGCGCCCAGGAGCGAATACCCGAGGTACAGTTTCTTCTCGCGCCGCTCTCGCTCGTCCTCTATCTGATGGGTCTTGATCACCTTGAAGTGTTCCATGCCCAGGCAGCCGTGCCGGGTGCAGGGGAAGCTGACGTTGTGGCAGAAGTGGCAGAGCATGGAGTCGATGGGGTTGGCGGCTCGCAGCTGCTTGGTGGGCACGTCCACGATCTTGGCCATCTCGCCGTAGGTCCTCTCCAGCTGGCTGTTCTTCAAACGCAAGAGGTACTGGCGGTGCTGCTCCTGCTCCAGGTAGTGGTTTCTCAGCGGGCAATAGCAGCTTCCAGCACAGAACAGGGCGCTCGGCTGGTGCCGGAAATAAATCTTCTTCCAGTCGAAATCGGGGAGAAACCCGTACAGCAAGGCCAGCCCGCTCTGGAGGGTCCGGCTTTTCCCGGTGGTCTCCAGGTAGAGCTGGTCTGTGGTCCAGTCGCTGGGCAGGAGCCTGTGTTTCTTGAGATAGATGTCCCGTAGCAGCTGGCCGTTCTGCAGATGCTGCACCACACCTGGAACAAAGAGCAGGCAAAGGGCTCCTTACTCCCCGCTCAGCACAAGGAAGAGCCAGGAGAAGCCCGGTCGGCGCCTGGCGCTGGAGGGTTTTCGCCCAGTGTTAGAGGAGATGACCGAGCCCTTTCACCACTGGATGGCGCTGCAGGAATGGGGTCAAGGTCAGCTTGCACAGGGGTCCTCTCCGTGAGGAGCAGGTCCTTGTCCTCTGTTCCTCCCCTGGGGGAGGAGTGCACCTCGCTCCCTCCCTCTTGCCTGGCCCTTCCCCAAGGAAATGTCGCCACCCGTGGGGTCAGAGGGCAGGATCATGCAGCCCTTGGGGACGTAGCCTGTAAATGCATGGACCTAAGGGAGTGCTCTCTCTGCTGCCCGGGGCCAGGGCCTCCCTCAGTGTGCAGGGGCTGCTTGGTGAGCCCAGTCGGGGAGAGGCCACCGCCAGCGGCCTGCGTGCTGCTGGGACCCCGTCTTCCCTCCCAGTAAAAGGCCCCTGGGGGCTATCTTCTCGAGATCCTGCTGGGACTCCCAGGCTCTCCACATGGCTTGCAACTGTCCCATAGCCAATAGAATATTTGGATGCACCAAAATTGATTAACATTTTAGCTGCCATTTCCATGAACTTTCTGAACTACTCTCATATTTGGAAGAAGTCATCTTTATGGTTGCACACACATATGGGCATTACGCTCCATTCGCATAAGACAGAAGGAGAGAAGAAGGTGTCTTTGTAGGTGCCTGCACTTTGTTTCCAGAAGCTTTGGTGGGGGGGTGATGCCTGAAAACTGGGATTCCAGGTTCTCTGGGGGGCGGAGGCACGGGGAGGGGATGAGCTCAGCCACACGACGGGGCATGGAGAGCAGAGCCCCCCTGGGGACCTGGGCTAGCGCCACTGCACCTCCATGGAGTTTGCACAGAGCAGTGAACTGCTCCGTGGCTGCGTTTTCCTAGACTACGCAGATTGAAGCTGGGATGTTATAGTGGGTCAAGTTTTTCTCATTTCATCTCCACAAAAGCCCAGTGCAGAAGGCATATACAAAACCTTCAAAAAGCTTGTGGAGGGGCTGGTGCTGTGGTGTAGCGGGGCTGGCGCTGTGGTGTAGCGGGTCAAAGTCCCAGCCTGCAGTACCAGCATCCCATATGGGTGCTGGTTCGAGTCCCAGCTGTTCCTCTTCCAGTCTCGCTCTCTGCTATGGCCTGAGAAAGCAGTAGAAGATGGCCCAAGTCCTTGGGCCCTTGTACCCACATGGGAGACCCAGAAGAAGCTCCTGGCTCCTGGCTCCTGGCTTTGGATCAGCTCGGCTCTGGCCATTGCAGTCATTTGGGGAGTGAACCAACAGAATGGAAAACTCTCATTCTGGCTCTACCTCTCTCTGTAACTCTGCCTTTCAAATAAATAAAATACTTCTAAAAAAAAAAAAAAAAAGGTTGTGGAAGACACACATTAGGAAAAGCCTATGCATGGATTTCCATTTCTTTTATTTTTGGTACTCAAATAAGCTTACCTTTTATTTTTAAACATTATTTCTTTACTTTTATTTGAAAGAGAGAGATTTTCCCTCCACAGGTTCACTCCCCAAATGCCCACAATAGTCAGGACTGAGCTGGGCCACAGCCTGGAGCTAGGAACTCCATCTGTGTCACCCAGGTGAGTGGCCGGGCCCCAAGTTCCAGAGCCATCACCTGCTTCCTCCCTGGGTGTGTGTTACCAGGGAGCTAGAACTCGGGCGGGGGTGCTGCGGTGTACGGGCTAAGCCTCCGGCTGAGCTGGGGTCTCAGCTGCCCCTCTTCCCATCCAGCTCTCTGCTAATGGCCTGGTAATGCAGTGGAAGATGGCCCAGGTGCTTGGGCCCCTGCACCCATACGGGAGACCTGAAAGAAGCTCCTGGTTCCTGGCTTTGGAGTAGCCCAGCTCCAGCTGTTGCAGTCATTTGGGGAGGGAACCAGTGGATAGAAGACCTCTCTCTCTCTCTCTCTGCATCTGCCTCTCTGTGCCTCTACCTTTCAAATAAACAAATAAATCTTAAAAAAAAAAAAAAAAAAAAGCAGCCTCTTAAACACAGCGGCACTCAGGAGCGATCCCACACAGCAGCTGCAGGGACCCTAGGTGTGCAGGTTGAAAGTGACTATTACACCGGCTATGTGTGCTTAACGACATTTACAATAGAAGCCACAAGTTGACCACGAAAAGAGAATGCAGGAACAGGAGCAAACGGCACTGCAAATATTTCTGGCATAATACTAATCTAGGAAATGATGATGATAATCCATCCATTGAGAAGAAGGTCTGAATAAACGACTGTCTCTCAGCGTGAGGGCCTGCCAATGTCTTCTCAGAACCCCCTCGCCGTGCACCCAGAGGCAGGGCAGGCATGTGGCACAGTGGTTAAGACACGGCTTGGGATGCTCGCATCTCACTTCAGAGCGCCAGGCCCACGTCCCATCCCCCTTTCTGATAATGTGCCTGGGAGGCAGCAGCTGATGGCTCAAGTACTTGGGTCCCTGCCACCCACATGGGAGACCTGGATTGGGCTCCTGGTATCGGGCCTCATCCAGCCCTGACTCTTGTGGGCATTCTGGTAGTGAACCAGCAGATGGGAGATCTCTCTAACTCTGGCTCGCCCTCAGTTTCCCTGCCTTTCAAATGAGAATCAAAACAAAACAGGGGCTAGCACTGTGGTGCAGTGGGGGTAAGGCACTGCTTAATGCTGGTATCCCAATATATCAGAGCACTGGTTCGAGTCCTGGCTGCTCCGCTTCTGATCTAGCTCCCTCTAATGTGCCTAGAAAAGCAGTGAATGATGGTCCAAGTCCTTGTACCCCTACCACCCATGTGGGAGACCCCGAAAGAATTCTGGGTTTTTGGCTTGGGTCTGGCCATATCCAGGCTGCTATAGCCATTTGGGGAGCGAATCAGTGGATGGATGATCTCTGATCTCTCTCTCTCTCACTCTCACTTTCTCTCTCTCTACCTTGCAAATATGTAAATACATAAATTTTCAAAAATAAAACACAAGTAGCCCCTGAGTCCTGAGCCTAGGCCTGCCCCGCCCTCTGCCCAGTCATCCTGACCCCCTTAGCCAGTGTGCATGGACAGGGAACCCCGAGAAGCTCAGTGGTTTTGCAGGTCCACCTCTGAGTGCGGCTAGGCTGGCCACTCTGTTCACAGACCCACAGTGTGCCCACGGCAGACGGGGTGGGGACCACATGGCTTCTTTATTCCTGGCTCCAGAGTCCGGAGGCCTGGCCACATCCGGACCCTCAGAGTCTGTGAGTCACCTCGGAATTCTTCCAATGAATTTCCTCTTCCACTAATGTAATCAGAGAGTCCAGCCAGCAGTTCTTAGCAGGACTGGTGCTGCCCTCCAGAGGGGCTTGAGGTTGCATTACCAGAATGATACGGGGGAGAGGGTTGGCACTCCATGGGTAGAAGGTACACAACAGGCAACCATTCTCTGTTCTCCATTCCACACGACTTTGGAGCCAACCATAGGACATTCCCACAGGTGAGAGCCTGTTTGAATACTTTAGCCTAGAATCTAACTCTGTGTGTGTGTGTGTGTGTGCAAACACCAGACCACTTTTGGCCGGCGCCGAGGCTCACTAGGCTAATCTTCTGCTTGTGGTGCCTGTACCCCGGTTCTAGTCTCAGTTGGGGCGCCGGATTCTGTCCCGGTTGCTCCTCTTCCAGTCCAGCTCTCTGCTGTAGCCCAGGAAGGCAGTGGAGGATGGCCCAAGTGCTTTGGCCTTGCACCCGCATGGGAGACCAGGAGGAAGCACCTGGCTCCTGGCTTTGGATTGGTGCAGTGCGCCAGCCATAGTGGCCATTTTGGGGTGAACCAACGGAAGGAAGACCTTTCTCTCTGTCTCTCTCTCTCTCTCTCACTGTCTAACTCTGCCTGTCAAAAAACAAAAAACAAAACAAAAACCCACCAGACCACTTTTGCATAATATTAACATCCACTGAACTTTCCAGAAATATAACATAAATTACGGGATGCCTCTACTTCGTTTTCAATCAGAATTTGTCAGAAAAACCCACTCCTGACACGTGGTCGCAGAGCCATCAATACAACATCGCCCAGTCATCTGCGCCTGTAGCTGTGGCCAGTCACCCGGTCCAGATTCAGGTGCAGGCATCGACTGCTGCATTCTATTTTCTCCAAGCACCTGCACTGAGATACACAGAACCATGGAATCCGTAAGATTCCATTTGTTTGTTACAATGAGATCCCTGATATCATGTTTATCTACATTTCACTTCAGGATAATGGAGGAAGACTGCACAAAACCTGTTAGGAAAAGAGGAGGACTTGGGAGATTAAAACTCCAGTTCTAGGGGCCGGTGCTGTGGCGCCATGGGTTAATCCTCTGCCTGTGGCTCCAGCATCCCATATGGGTGCCATTTCTAGTCCCGGCTGCTCCTTTTCCGATCCAGCTCTCTGCTATGGCCTGGGAAAGCAGTAGTAGATGGCCCAAGTGCTTGGGCCCCTGCACCCACATGGGAGACCCGGAGGAAGCTCCTGACTCCTGGCTTCAGATGGCTCAGCTCTGGCCATTGTGGCCTTTTGGGGAGTGAACCAGCGGATGGAAGACCTCTCTCTCTCTGTCTCTCCCTCTCACTGTCTGTAACTCTACCTCTCAAATAAATAAAATCTTTAAGAAAACAAACTCCTGTTCTGTTCTAACAGAGGGTTCAGACATGTGGACGTAACTGCCAAAGGCTTGTAACACAACTCCCTACCCAAGGCTAGACCTCCTGGGCCTTCGGCTAGCCCCACTCTGTCCCTCGACATCATTCATCCCATGAAGATGGCTTCCATAAACTGGACACTCAGCAGGGCCAACTACAGGACAGACACCTGCTGGAACACGAGAGAGCATGGCCACCGTGGTCCCCTGACTTCCCCATGAAGGCTGCTGACCAAGCAAAGGGCCTTCAAGGCCCCAGATTGAAGAACCAGGGAACTCAAACCTCTTGGGGGAGGGGGGAGGGCACTAGTCTCTTCTCCTTCCAGCAAGGGTGACTCCACAGCCGCCGTCGCCCACCTGCTCTGACAGTGAACCCACTGCATGATGGCCTGACCAGGGCTGTGGAGGAATCGGCCACGTTGTTTTCCTTCTTGTTTTTTGTTGTTGCTGTTTTATTTATTTATTTGTTTGCCAAAAGATTTATTTATTTATTTGAAAGTCAGAGTTACAGAGAGAGAGAGAGAGAGAGAGAGAGAAAGCTTCAATCTGCTGGTTCACTCCCCCAGATGGCTGCAATGGCCAGCACTGGGCCAGGCCAAAGCCAGGAGCCAGGAGCCAGGAACTCTGTTCTGGTCTCCCCATGGGTACAGGGGACCAAACACCTGTGCCAAGTTCCTGCCATCCCCTAGACCATTCTCAGGGTGCAGAGTCGGAAGTGGAGCAGCCAGGACTACAGCTGGTGCTCTGATATGGGACGACAGCAGGTGGCAGCTTTCCCCACTATGCCCCAGGCCACATGCTTTTCTCCCTGAGCTCTTGTACATGAAAACCTAGCAGAAGTTGCATTTGAAAGATGAAAGGTCACAGGATTGGTTAAATAAGGAATGGCCCACCCACAGTGGGATCGCACGCAGCCATCACAGGTGATGTAGTGGGTGACTGTTTACAGGTAGGGAATGAGGCTCACAACCTATTAAGTGAAAAGCTGGGTTACCAGTGTTAGTAAGTTGTTACTGTGTGCACTTCGACGTGAGAAGAAAGGGGACTTCTCAGGGCCTGTGCCTTTAAACTTTGCTTTCTTTTGCTTGTCTTGCTTACTTTCTCTTCAGGAATGTGTGTTGTCTTTGGCATAGGAAAATTAAAATAAGCTATTTCTAATTTTTCAATAGATACTGTGGTGAGCCCGAGCTCCTTGGAGCGTCAGTGCTCAGAGCAATTTCCCCAAACGTAGGAGCATGGCAGCGTGGCTGGGAGCGGCACGTACCTGTCTGCGTGAGCTCGCCCATCTCACACAGCGGGTGACTGGGGTAGAGAGGCAGGGAGTTCAAGGGGCTTTCGAAAGAGGCTCCGGATCCTTTCGACATGTGGCTAACGAAAGCTTCCAGCTTAGGGTGATATGGTTTCCTGAAAGACAACACAGAGGATGAGTGGCCCGAGGCCCTGGAACAGCCCACGCAACACCAGGTTCCAGCAGCAAAGCCCCAGGGGAGTCACGACCCTGGGCACCCACAGCAACAGCCCCAACCCTCTAAAATCCCCATTCCAGGTCGGTGCCGCGGCTCACTAGGCTAATCCACCGCCTGCGGCACTGGCACACTGGGTTCTAGTCCCGGTCGGGGCGCCGGATTCTGTCCCGGTTGCCCCTCTTCCAGGCCAGCTCTCTGCTGTGGCCAGGGACTGCAGTGGAGGATGGCCCAAGTGCTTGGGCCCTGCACCCGCATGGGAGACCAGGAGAAGCACCTGGCTCCTGGCTTCGGATCAGAGTGGTACACCGGCCGCAGCGGCCATTGGAGGGTGAACCAACAGAAAAGGAAGACCTTTCTCTCTGTCTCTCTCTCTCACTGTCCACTCTGCCTGTCAAAAAAATAAATAAAATCCCCATTCCGTTTTCACGCAACCACCGCCCCCCACTGCCACATGAAACCCCTCTTGGCGCTGTCAGCCCAATGCCCCCGCCTCTGCTGACCGCGTGCTGTGCTATGGGATTCAGTGTTGCCCTTGACCTTCCTGCTCCCCAACCTGCACCGCTTCTGGGGCTCTGGCTCCAGGATGCCACCCCCAACCACCCAGCCATGCCCGCTGGGAGCCAGGAGCTGCCTGGGTCCCTTCTGCCGTGCCCTGCACAGCCCACCTGCCCTCAACCTTGCGGACTCCTCCTGCTGGGGCTTCTCCACCTGATTCCCTTCACCCTCACTGTCACCTGGGCTTGGGCCTCAGGCAGCTCCTGCTTGGGTGGCAGCGGGCTCCTCACAGGCCCTCCACAGCCACAAGGACTCCAGGTGACTCGAGTTGCCACCACCCTTCCACACTGACGCTGCCTGTCAAGTGTGTCCTGACCCGCCTCCCTCTGAGGATGCCCCTCCCCTCTCTGTCTGCCCTGGCCACACACAGTCAAGGCCTTTGTCCCCCTAGCACACAGCGCAACCCCTCCTCCCCAGTGCCACCATGTGCCGCAGGGTGGCCCTATCCTCCTGGGGAACGCACCCCCAAGCTTCGCCTCAGTCACCTGAAATCCTTGATTTTTCCAACCTTTGGAAAACCTCCCTTTTGGAAAATTGCTTGCAGCGTGAGGCAACCGAGATCTCCACGCTGTTTCCGGCACGCCGTGCGCACTGCACACGCACCGGCTCATTCAGCGTGGCTGGCCATGAACATCTGTACACGTGATCTGTGTGTCTGCACGCTCGGTCAGTGGAGACATAATTCATCTTCCTAGCAGCTGATACCAATTTTCTCTGAAGAGTGAAATGACCAGTGCGCGCGCACACACCTTTCCTGTGAATACCAAATGGCCTGTGAATGCAGATCCGCTTTCCGGCTGACGAGAGCGGGGACAGATAGGGCAGCTGACTACTAGGCTGCGCAGGAGTTGGCATGGGAGGAAGCAAAGATAAACAGCTCTCTCGGCAAACTCCTGCTGGCTGAAAGCACCATTAACTGTGGCAATGCTTTAGAACCTGCTGCCCAAGTGGGTTTCTTATCTTTCAAAAGCAGAAAGCTGAGAGGAAAATCCATCTTCCAAAGAGTCTGTTTTAAATTTAGAGCGTGCCCATCCCGACTGGCCCCAGGCCCTAATAAATCACACCGGCTGGCTACAGGGATGACGGCTTTTCCCTCACCCAAGGCGGAAGCACATACATGTTTGCAGACCGGGCAACAGAAGGTGCAGACAGGGAACGGGACTGCCGACATGAGCCACTCAGGCAAGGCTCCCGCCAGCAAGGGTTGAGTGCTCTGCTCTGGGCCATCGGTTCAGCCTGGTGACTTCTGAGGCCCTAAGAGAGTGTTGCTGCTGCTTTCAGAAGTGGAATTTCACGCCGGAAGGCGTCTGCTGGGACATCCCGGGGTGTCCGGGCAGCTGGCAGCTGACTGATGTGCTTGTCACACCTCCCTCCGTGGTGCCCAAAGATAAAATTGGTGGAAGGAAGGCTTTACTTGCAGGACGGCTAACACCCGACTCTATCTTTTAAGGGGGAAGGTGATCAGACAGCCTGTCTGGTCCATCCTGCCTGGCCCATGGCATCACCTCTAGAGCCCAGAAGGTTCTTAGCACTGGGTGGATGCTGTACATCACGTGGGAATGAACCTCCCTGTGAAGGGTTCCAGCCTTGACAGCCTCAACACATAGGGCCCAAGTGCCCATCGTGTTTATTAAAATACCCGGGTTTTGATGGCCATATGAAACAGAAAGGCTGCTGTAACACTACTCACTGGACGCTAACGCTCTCCTCTTTCTTGGGAACTTGGTAAGATCCCAGGCTGGGGGCCATGGAGGGTCAGTACAGCCACATGATTAAGTATTTGCCGTTGTAGTGGAAGAACGCATTCCGCGTCTTCACATTCTTGCCTTTCTTCTATCTGGGTTTGGATGGAAGCAGCCCAGGTTCACCCACAGACATCCCCGGGGAACGGGCACGCAATAACCTAGGAGGAACCCGGGGCCCTGACTCTCACAGGCAGAGAGAAGCGTGAGTGTGCTATTTAATGGAATACAGCCTCGAGTCTCCTCACCCTGGCAGACACAGAAATGACGGCACCTTCCAGAAAACCTCCTAATTGCAAGGCCCCACTGCTCATGTGCTTTCTTGCCGGAAACTGAGAGAATCCAAAGGTTTATCATCTTGAGACTTGAAGTCACTCCCTGTAGAGCTCTGACTTACATTTTTATATGCATGGCTCACACCTGTGTGTGCCACAGAGGGCGAGACAGCACCCTGAGGCTGCTCTCTGTACTCAGGAGAAATGAACTGTGCTTCAGCCATCGCCTGAGCACCCCTGAGCTCTGCAGAGAAGAGTCCCCGCCATCAGAAGACAGGATTCAAGGACGCTCACTCAGCTGGAGATGGGAGTGAAATCATGCCAGGCTCGCCTGTTGACTTACTTATTTATCTGAAAGGCAAAGCTGCAGAGAGAGGGGGAGAGACAGAGAGAAAGAACTGAAGCTAGGAGCTAGGGGTTTCTTCTGGTTCTCCCATGTGGATGGCAGGGGCCCAGGCACTTGGGCCGTCCTCCGCTATTTGTCCCAGGCCATTAGCAGAGAGCTGGATTGGAAGTGGAGCAGCTGGGACATGAACAGGGGCCCATATGGGATGCTGGTACTGCAGGCAGCAGCTTTACCTGCTACGCCATAATACCAGCCACCTCACCCCAGGTTTTTAAAATGTATGCCAAGGAGCCAGCATTGTGGCATAGCCTGTTAAGCCTCTGCTTGCAATGTTGGCAGCCCTTATGGGCACCAATTCAAGTCCTGGCTGCTCCACTTCCAATCCAGCTCTCTACTAACTTGTCTGGGAAAGCTCTGGAAGGTCGTGCAAGTACTTACACGTGGGAGACCGGGCTGGAGTTCCTGGTTCCTGGCTTTGGCCTGGCCCAGCCCTGGCTGTTGTAGCCATTTGGAAAGTAGACCACCAAGTAGATGGAAGATCTCTCTCTCTCTCTGCCTTTTTAGTAAGTAAATAAATAAATCTTTAAAATGTAAGATTCACGCCACTGAAAGACTGTGTTATCTTCCACTGTTAGCATGACGGGACTCTAAGGAGGGAAGCCCTGGGCACTCCCGTCTCCAGCTTTCTGGTCCGGTCCATGTCACCTGCTGTGACCACTGCCCCAGCTCCCTGAGCCCCCATCACATCGCGTCCTGACGTCTCCTGTGTGTGCAATGCAGCGTCTCCCCGGACTCCTCTCTGGCTTTGGCCCCACTTGCTCCCAGCTTCTGTCTCGCACACCAACCAGGCTCCGCTTCCACTGCAGCCGACAGGCTGAACCCTCTCAGACAAGCCCCCGTCTCCCAGCGGGCCCACACGCCGAGCCCCGGAACTGCCACCTGCTGGCCTCACACAGCTTGCGCTGAAGTGCTCAGAACTTCCCTCCCGTGGCCCCGCATCTGAGCCCAGCAAACAGCTGCTCAGAAAAACCTGGGTGCCGGCCTCCCCTCCCCCACAACCCGTCACCAAGTCCTACTGACCCGACCTTGTGACCTGCTCTAAGAACCGCCCTCTCCCCGTCTCTGTGGTCCCTGCCTGACTTCCTGCCCCCATCACTTATTCAGTCAACAAGTATTTGCCACACTCCTCCTCAGTGCACGGTCCTAGGTGCCTGGGATGCAGCAACAGTGGACAAAAGTAATAACCCCTGCCCGCAGGGAGCTTACCGACAAGACACGATGACCACAGCAAGTGTGTGTGTTACATGGGGACAGATGTTGTGGGAAAGAACAAGGGAAGAGGCTGTGAGGGGCTTGGGCAGATGGAGAAATGCCTTGTCATTTTAGCTGCAGGGTTTTGAGTAGGCCTTAGCAACAACTGGCCATACGGCTCTCTGAGGGTAAAGGCTTTCGGAGAGAGGAAGACACTATGTGCAAAGGCCCTGGGGCAGCAGTGTGTTGAGTATGCAAAGCACTAGGTACAGCGAGGGTGTAGTAGAGCAAGTGAGGGCAAAGAGCACTTTAATGAATGCCTCGTATGAGAAATGCAGTCTCATCCTGGATCTCTCTCCCCATGACAACATTGACACCATCGCCACCATCAAAGTCGGCTCTACTTTAGGGCTGCCAGAGACCTCCGCCCCAGCCCCCTGCCCTCAGCTCCCTTGCCGCCTTCATGCCGGGAACCCACCCTCTCCGGCTGGGCATGCAGAGCAGCAGATGACCAAGTTCCCGCCCCATGCCCAGCCCTGTGGCGAGTGCTGAGTACCCGCAGGCGCCGAGCTGCACACCGTCCACACGCTGCACAGGCTGCCCTGTACCGCACCCATTCTGGTCGCTTTCTCTGGGTGGCCCGATCTGCCCCCCTCCCTGCCCCAACTCCCTGGGGTCAGGTTGCCCCTCTTCTGGCTCGTGGCCCTGAACACGGTACCCGAGCCACTCCCACTCCTACTTCTTCCTGCTCCTCCCCTCCCACCTCTTTCTCTTTTCTCTCTAATGCTGCTGCTGCCGCCACCTGCGCTGACCACGGTTCTCTGAGGCTCACCATGGGGCAGCACCAGGCCTGCCTCTAGGGGTGCATCGGCCCCATGAAGCCTGGAGCGACCTTGCTCTCGTCACCCCTTAGAAGCTTGGGCTCCCACCCAGCCACACGTCGATCTCTTTCTCAGACACGTGCCGCTCTTCCAGCCTCAGGCCCTTTGCACTTGCTGTTCCCCCCATCTGGAACCCTCTTTCCCTAGATCTTCATGGACCTGGCTCCTTCACTGCCCATGTGTGCCAGCCAGCCAGGACCCAGCATGTGACAGGAGCATAAAACCGAAGTTGTTGAATGAATGCCGATTAAAGTGATTATTTTTCTTCCTTGGATGTAGAAAAGGACATTTAACTCATATTTGTGAATGGAAAAAAAAAAAAAAAAGGCTAACAACCTTAACACTGGCTCCGCATGGTACCATGAGGGTCCCAGCAGTATCACGTTCAGAGCCTGTGGCATTCAGGAAGAATCTTGGAGAGCCACGGGCTGTGTCGCTGGGGCTGGAAACTGTGGGCAGCCGCCTTGCAGGACAGTGTGTCCCTGCTGGGCTCAGCTCACCGCACCCCTGCCTGCTTCTGGCCTGGAGCAATGGGCACACTCCGACCCTCGCTGCCTCTTAGGGGGTCACGAGGTCACCTACTGATGAAGCTGAACTTGCGCGTGGGAAGACAACAGGCAGTGCTGGTGACCCAGATCCCACGCGCCCGGGGCAGTCGGCAGCCCGGCTGGCCCCACTGCACCCTAGCCGGGTTCCTCTCCACTCTCACTCTAAGAACACGTTTGCAGTGACCAAGTCAGCTCTGACCGCTTTCCAAGAAGGACTTAACCAAATGGCACTAAGTAACTCAACAGGCACAGCCCGCGAGGGGAAGGGCAACGAGGGCAGACGCAGCCGAGGCAATGGGTCCCCGGGGACTCAGCCTCTCCGGGAACGGCTCCAACAGAGGGGCCCCCAGGTGGCTGCACCTGCAGGAGGGGGCCCGGCCCAGAAGGCCCCCTGGCAGCTGTGGGCCGTGATCTGTCCCCACTGCCCAGTCTCGGGGTGGCCCAGGCCCGTCCTTGCCTCTACCACCTTATCTCCACTTTGCAGGAAGTGAGTTGCCCCGCATCCATCAGGCCACAAAGGCCTTGGGGACTCCCCAGCCAAGGCTGAGATCTGTAACACGGCACACGATGGGGACGCTTAACAGGTGACTGTGACCTGAGACTCGCACTGAGGTCCTGAATTCACTCTGCAACCCACCCAGCCTGAGCCGCCGGGCTCCGGGCAGGGCACAGCTGAGCCAGAGGGGAGGCAGAGCCTCGAGGAAGAGCTGCTGCCAAGTGCCAGGTGCACAGCCCTCTACCAGGTGGCCACACTCACGGGACCTCTCCTCTGGAAGTACTCAGAGTGGCCCCCCAAAGCCGTGGGGTGCCCAGCCATAGCTGTGTGGTTTCGGGACTACCCCTGTCTTGAGCCGAGCCAGCCAATCAAATTCCCGCTATGGGCACATGAAGTGGACTCTGGAGCCCACGGGATGGCCCACACTGTCCATGAGGCTACCCTGGGTCTGGCCAGCGGATAGCCACTGGGTGGGCAGCGGCACGGCTGTACCAGGTGTCAACGCACGGAGACTCTGCTCCACCTGATGGAGAGAAGCCACTTCCCTGAGCGCCACTCCCTACACCCCTCTCCCAGGGTCCAGAAATGGAGGGGTTAATGCCCAGCACAACCCCAGCTGAGGGTCGGTTTTGTTCAGGACCCTTCCGGTACCCTCCCCATTTCCAGCGTGTCGGGCTCCGCCAAGGCGTGCTCCAACCCCAGACGCCAGCCTCATGCATGGGGGTCCCCTGAGCTGCAGGAGAGAGCCCAGAGCAGGCCACGGGGCTAGGGAGCTGCAGCAGGTGCAGAAGCACGGAGGGCAGCGGGTCTGGTGGGATGGGGGTTACGTAACCGCAGCCTCTGAGGGTCTTGGCGGAGGCAGGGATGAAAGGCGAGAGAGAGGGGTCTCAGCCTGGAGGCAGCGAGCGGTGGAGGCCTGGCCCCTGACATCCTGGACCCCACCCAGGCCCCAGGCTGTGCCTCCATGTTTGCTGCCTAAGAAGCCCCACGTGCCCAGGCCACAGGCACTGGGCAGCTCCAGCCTGCCACAGGAAAGCATATAAAAGCCTCAGGAGGGTTTGACATAAAGTGGTTCACGGGCAGAGGTCTGCGTTGAAGTTAGGCTGCTGTGGCCTTTAAATAGCAGCCCCGGCTGCCACGAGGCCACGAGGGGCCCCGCCAGGCAGGCTGGCACTCCAGGAGCATTGCATCAGGACATGTTCCCCATCGAGCAGGTCCCTGTCTCCAGCCTCCTCTTCTGACTCCTGCTCGCGCTGGCGGGCGCCCCCGGACGTGGCTGCCAGGGGTCTGGCCTATGGTTCTTTGTTAGCCGTGCCTCCGATTTTAGCACCACGCCATTTCCATACACGCAGTCTCCACGCTGTTAAATTATGTTTCATCCCAAGGGCCTTCAACCAAGGGCAGGCTGTCGCTCCTCCCGGGACAAAGGTAAAGACTGAAAGAGTTACCTTACACCCACAGGCGCTGCAGCTGCTAACGCGCGCGCATTGTGGCATCTCACTCGTTCCTTACCCAGCCCTGCCCGGCACAGACACGAGGCCGAGCCTCAGACAGACTTATGGACACGCCTGCTGCCCTGAACGGAAGAGCTGGGCCAGTCTGGGAACTCCTAACCCAGTGCTTACTGTCCCACATCCCAGAGTGGGAAACCCTGCCTCGGCGGGCCTGGGCTCAAACCTGGGTGTATCTGCTGTGCTGCCTGGAGGAGGTGTCCCCGGCTCCCCTTTTCAATTGTATAATGGCTTTTACCTGCAAGACCACTTGGACGCTCAGCTCCTGCTATCAGTGCGTGCTTAATGGATGCGGGTCACTCCCCCGCCCTGTAATTTTCCACTGCACACGACAGAGCAGATTCTTGAAGATGACTTGTAGGAAACGTGCAATTTACCTGTTAGCCACCAGAGTGCAGTCAATTTCCAGTCGCTTGGTTTTGGGGATGGCATACAGCGGGTACCTGTCTCCGTGGCGAATGAACACGTGCACCGAGACCAGCTTAAAGTGATGCGGGGCGTGACCTGCAAGACACAGCCTGTGGTCACTCCACAGGGCTCAATCTTCCAGAGGAGGGCTGGGGTGGGGGTGGGTGTGTGTGTGATCTGGCCATGCCTGTGCTGGGCCCCCAAAGAGGAGGTGGTGACCATCACTGCACAGCCATAGTCAGGGGCCTCTGTATCCCAGACCACCCGGAAACAATGGCGAGGACAGGTTCTGGGGTGGGTGGGCGGTGGGGTGGGCTGGGGCCAGAGGGCTTGTGCTGATGGAGGTGCTCTCCCCCATATCCATAGGCCAGGGGCCGGCCCCCAGGAACTCTGCAAACAATGGCTTCTGTTGTAGAGCCTCAGACCAACAGAGAGACACACACACTCCCCATCATCCTTTGAGAACACTCAGCAAAGCAGGACAATGGAGGAATCATGTGTTCCAGCAGCTTTACGGCACGACACCCTTCCGGCTCGCCAAGGCCGCCCCACAGACGCGGTGACGGGCCGTATCGGTGAGCCATGAGCTGGTCCCAGTGAGGGGCTCCTGAACCCCCTCTGCAGCCCTGCGCCACGTGCACTGCTTACTCCCCTTCAGGGCCCGGGAGCTCACGGCCCAGAGGCAAGCGCGGGACCTGAGCCCAGCTCACCTAAGCCCCGTCACTGGGCTATGCTGCTTGAAGATGGAGTTCCCGGCGGCACGGCCAGGCCTACCTTCCATGCTGCGCTCGGCCACACTCGGGAGGTTGCAGTACAGGAGCGCCTCGTACACGGGGTCCGTGACCGGGGGCTCCGTCACCGGGTCAGGCATGATCCTCTTCCGGCTCTTGCTGCTCACTGCATTCTTGGTGGCTGACACGGGGATCAGGTGGACTGCAAGGCAAACCACGCGGATCACAAGGCCCAGGCCCTGGGGCTCCAGGGTGGACTCCAGGGTAGGGAGGGGTCAGCTTCTCAGTGTGTCCCGAGCCCCTCCTCCTTCCCAGTGCCACAGCAGTGCCTGGCCACATAAGGCCAGCAAGCCATCCCCGAGACAGGGTCCATCCTTTGGGGAAGGGGAGAGCAAATGCCCGTGAACTTCTCCCAACCCGATCACTCGTCCTCACAGCAGATGACCGAGTCCTACCGCCCTGTCAACTCTGGCCCTCTCTGGAGGGCTGCTGGGCGCTAGATGCGGTATCTCACAAAGCTCAGTTAGCACCACCTGTCCACTCACGGGCCCTGCTCGGGGATCCCCATGAGGGCCCAGGCACATGAACGCACTGGGTGGAGCCTGGTCTGGCGCTCACTCCTCCGGTCCCAAGCACCAGCTTTCCCACCTGTGTCCTCTGGGTGAGGGCGGGGGATGGTGAGGGGAAGGGGCGGTGAGGGTGGGCCCACTGTCTGCGACATCTGTTCATCTCACACCCTTTCTCTGTGAGGTCTGGGCGAGCTGTCAGTCATGAGGTCCTGCCCTCCCACCCCGCAGCAGGGCAGAAGTGACGGGAGCCAATGATGACAGCGGTAGCCGCTGGCCCCCTTGTCCTTGGGGAAGGAGCTACAGAGACACCTGAAGGGGGTCTGCTTCTCCTGGACGCTATCCGTCAGGCACGGCAGCTTGGGGCTGCCCGGCCATCCGCCCGTCTGTGGACAGTCTGTCTCGGTGGCCCCGGTGTTCCCATCCCCATAGCAGCCCAGACTTTCCAGAACAACTTTCAAAGCGGTAACCACACTTCCAGCACCCACAGATCTAGTTAACTTCTGCAAGGTGTATTAACCACCATCACACACACACACACACACACACACACACACACAGAAACGACTGGCAGCACAGGCACCAGCCATCAGTCTCAATCAATTTAAATGCCCCCAACTTCTTCTACATAAATATTTAAAACTTCCCTCTGGCAAAGAGCTGCCATAAACAAAGACAAAAGGCAAGTGATATATGGAGAGAAAAATGTCCACCACACACATAACAGACGGATGATTAAGCTCCAGAGTACACAAGAGTCCCTTCAACTGGAAAATCATTAAAGGACATGAACAGGCTAATTATAGACGAACAGGCACCACTGGCCAACAGACACAGGGAAAGATGCTCACGGCTATGCATAATTAAAGAAATGCAGAGTAAACCAGTAATGGCTGTGACTGTCCCCCCGTCAGACTGGAAAGTAAGGTTTCAATGATAATTCCAATACTGGCCTGGCAGGAGTGAGAGAACCCTGAGGCTTCCACGCACTGCAGGTGGAGTGATACGGAACCGCCTTTGGAAGCCGTGCTTGCCAGAAGCCATTCAAGTGTCCTCTGGGCCTTATCCCTGTTCCCATTACTCTCGACCTGGGAATCCATCTATCCCATAAAGGTAGCAGTTCCCACACACGGAACGAGACTCACTGCTGCGCTGGCTGTAGTAACAGAATTAGAAACAGCCACCCCCAGCAGAGCAGAACGGCACATCCACACTACAGGAGGCTCCGCCCCGACTGATAAGAACAGCAGAGAATCAAAGGTAGGCGCTCCCGTTATGGTGCAGTGGGTCAAGTCACTGCTCGGGACACCTGCGCCCCCTATTGGAGGGATGGTTTGCATCCTGGCTGCTCCGCTTCTGACCCAGCTTCTTGCTAGTGCGCCCAGGAAGGCAGCGGAGGGTGGCTCAAGTACTTGTGTTCCTGCCATCCAGGCGGGAGACTTGGCTCCTGGCTTCAGGCTGGCCGAGCCCTGACTCTTGGGGCACTTGGCAAGTGAACCAGCAGATGTAAGACCTCTGTGTGTGGGGCTGGCACTGTGGTACAGAGAGTTAATGCCCTGGCCTGAAACGCCAGCATCCCATATGGCACTGGTTCGAGACCTGGCTGCTCCACTTCCGATCCAGCTCTCTGCTATGGCCTGGGAAAGCAGTAGAAGATGGCCCAAGTGCTTGAGCCCCTGCCCCTGTGAGGGAGACCTGGAGGAAACTCCTGGCTCCTGGCTTCGGATCGGTACAGCTCTGGCTGTTGCAGCCAACTGGGGAGTGAACCATCAGATAGAAGACCTCTCTCTCTTTTTCTGCCTCTCCTCTCTCTCTCTCTGTGTAACTCTGACTTTCAAATAAATAAATAAATCTTAAAAAGAAAAAAAGACCTCTGTGTGTGTGTCCCTCCCTCTCTCTGTGCCACTTTGCCTTTTAAGTGAATTAAAGAATGAATCTTTAAAAAAAATGAAGATGAATTGAGGTGAATAAACCCCATCATTGGATATGAACATAATCATGTCTGAGTGAAGAAAAAGCAAATGCGAGTGCACGGTGCCATTCGGGTGTGTGTTTACCACGGACGCACACAGAGCGACCACTGGTGGCGTGTCCATCACCGGGCTGCAATGGCTTGCCCTGGGGCAGGGATGCAGTGGGGTGTGGAGAGTATTTCGGTCTTTCTGTAAACATTTCTATTGTTTTATGTGTCTGCACACAGACATGCACGTATATGTTTACAGTAAACACCTGCTACCCATTTTCTCTGTGTAAAGAGATATAGACATCTTTCTATAACACAGAGATAGACATACATGCCTTTGACAGCCAGTATTTGCCCATTCCTGCCTGTGTCACTAGGACAGCGACCACACAGCTACACACTGCTCCATCACTAACTCAGAACCGGTGCTTCGGCCACTCCCGGAGCCCCTGTCTTGCCAGCAGCTGGGAGAGGCCACGGTGGCTGATGCCCGGCTCAGGTGTTCCTAGAGAATCAACATCAGAGGTCACGCCAGAGCGAGGGGGTGTGGAATGACTGATGTCCCAAGGCAGTGTCCCGGTGACCTGGCCCTCTGGCTGGACGGCAGCCTGAGTCTTTTACTCTGCCCTTCCTAAGAGCCACCAGGTACCAGCCTCTTGGTGACACCTGTGGGCACGCTCTCCTGGCTAGGCAGGAAGAGGTGCAGCCAAGGACACGAGATGAGTGTCATGCGGATGGAGGGACATGGGCTCCCGGGTCCCTGGCCTGTGGAAGCTGCCACTCAGCAACGACAGGGGCTGGGTCCAAATGACCCCACCATGACCCAGAGAGCGGTGGTTGGAAAGCCACAAAGATCAGGTAACGATCAGAACAAGAGCTTCCGTCAGGGAGATCTTATCTGCAGCTTCCTCGGGCATCCGTGCCCGTGGGCCCGATTCGCTGGGTCCGAGTGTTGAGCTCGTTCTGTGCTTTCTGTGCCTTCCTGAGTCACCCGGACCCGGCGCCAGCCCACACGGGGCCCTCCAGACACCAGGTACTCAGAGAAGTTCCCAAGCATAGAAGCCATACAGAGTCTCCCCAGTTCTAGCTGGATTCTTCACCCCAACTTGGTTCTCATTATCCTGAACTGTTCAGAGCCACCCCACCCCACCCCACAGGGTGTTTCTCACCCGTGCTTCTCCCTGCTTGCAATCTTACCCTTACCCCATAACTGATCTCAGGAGTCACCTCCTCCAGGAAGGCCACCAGGCAGTTTCCACGTCCCTCTTCTAGGAGTCTACCCAGCTTCCGCTACTGTCATGGCTCATAGCACAGTATTTGTAACTGGGGGTGCCCTGGACTTGTCACCTGACCACCCAAGCACCCAGCCACCTGTGACTACACCCCTTTCACATCTACAGCCCCTGCTGACCGGCAGGAGCTAGGCCTTCCAAAAGCGCTTGCTGAACCAAGGGCCTGCTCTGAGCCAGGTTCTGTGCTCCAGGCTTTGATGAAACATCTCATTGAATCTTCCCATGGGAGCCTGGGGGACAGGGGCCACCCAGTCGGCCTCGGGGAGGGGATTGGCCCCCATAGGCTTCCTGGAGAAGACACGCAGGCCAGGCCTGGAAGGCTGAGGTGAAGCCAACAATGCGGAGTGGCAGCCGGGTGCTGGGTGAAGGGCTGTGTGGCATGGGCCGACACTGCAGGCAGGAGGCAGTGAGCCGGCTCAAGACCCACCTCAGATCCCCAGCGACTTCGGTGCAGTCGGCCATGGGGCAGGGAGCCCCGAGTGGGGGGCAGGGTCACGACAGAGCCTGGAGGGGCAGATGCCGGGCTGGCTGGAGGCGGGTGGCCTCTGCCCTGGCCCCATGTTCGTCTTGCTCATCTGGACAGAGGGGGCTGATGCACGGGGCAGGGGACCCTGGGACGCTGCTTCTCTCCACAAGGCCTTGCTCACCCCAGCAGCTCCTCCAGCCACCCTATGCGACCATCAGGAGCTCTGCTGGTCCTAATCAGAACGCAGCAGCTCCGATGTTATCAGCCAAGAGACTGGTGGGGAGGGGGGAGAGATCCGGGACTAGGCGGATGAACAGAAGGATCCTGAGTGACACTGCGGAGGTGGAAAAAACCAGGCATCTAAATGAGTGCCCTGGGGCCACTGTGACACTAGGAGCAACAGGGACAAAACAGCGGACAGCTTGTATGGCATGCCCGACGGGATGGGCGGGCCGCTTCCCCGCGGCGTGAGGACCCAGCGGAAGCAGATTTCCATCACCTACTCATCCGCTCCGCTGTCATGTCCACCACATCTCTGTGCCTCTGGCCCTCTCGTACAGAGATGCCGGCGGGGTCTCCCCAAGTTGCGAAGAGGTGGCAGAGAACGCCACCTGCCAAGCACTTCCTCGCTTTCGGAAGCAAACCCCAAACTGCCCAGAACCACGAGTGGACAAGCGGGAGCCATTCCACACAGGCCCCATCTCACCCTCCAAACGCACGCAGGGTGAATCCGCAGGCACTGTTAGCAGATACGGCCCAGCTACAGTGCGGGTGCACGGCAAACTGGCCCCTCCTGCCTTTCCCAGCTTTGCACCTCATGCTAGAGCGAGAAAACATCAGACAGGTCTGGGCAAGTCAGGGGGCCTCTGTGAGGCCCCGCAGTCGGCAAACCTGGGCCTGCGACCCCCTGCCCCC